GAGACAGCTCCTGCTTCCCACTGTTAGGGGTCCCACAAAGAGACCAAGCTACACAATTGTAACATGTATGTGGATGTCATAAGTCAGTCCCATGCAGGCTCCCTTGTTGAAGGTTTAGGCTTTCTTAGTCCCTATGAACCCAGGCTATTTGATTCTCTGTTTTTTCTTGTGTCATTGACTTCCCTGACTCCTATAATCCTTCTTTCCCAGCTTTGGTGGGATTCTCCAAGGTCCACCCAATATTTGGCTGTGGGTCTCTTAATCTGTTTCAGGCACTAGGATATTTTAAAGGCTATAATCACTAGGCAAAATGAATTATCAGTTCCTTTATACTCTAGAGGCTAGCATTACATGTGTGAGCCCTTATTTACCAAAATGGTGCGAGTTTTTGATGTGGTAGGTTTTGATGAAGGTGTATGACTGTAATATAAAATTAGCTATTTAAACAATTCATTGGCATTTTATATAGTTTTACATAAAATTTTATTTAATTTGTCAGACTATTTCAGTTCCAAAACAGCATTGTCATTATTATTTTAATCTGTAAATTATTTTGGTATTTTAAGAAGTTGTTTCTCTTACTCAGCAATGAAAAATAAGGAAATCATGAAATTTGCAGGTAAATGGTGGGACCTGGAAAGGATCATCCTGAGTGAGTTGTCCCAGAAGCAAAAAGACACGCATGGTATATACTCACTCATATAAACATACAACATAGAATAAACCCACTAAAATCTGTACATCTAAAGAAACTAAGCAAAAGAGAGGACCCTAACTAAAATGTTCAATCCCCATCCTGAAAGGCAAAGAGGATGGATATCAGAAGAAAAAGAAAATAGGAAACAACCTCGGAACCTGCTACAGAGGGCCTCTGAAAGCCAGAAGAAAACAGGAAACAACCTTGAAACCTGCCACAGAGGGCCTCTGAAAGCTTCTGCAGTATAGACTGTCAAAGCAGATGCTGAGCCTGATGGCCAACTGATGGGCAGAGTGAATGGAATTTTATGTAAGAAGTGGGAAATAGTAAGAGCTGGAGGGGACGGGAACTCCACAAGGAGAGCAACAGAACAAGATAATTTGAACACAGGGAACTTCCCAGAAAATCATATTCCAACCAAGGACTATTCGTGAAGATGACCTGGAACCCCTGCACAGGTGTAGCCCATGGCAGTTCAGTGTCCAAGTGGGTTACATAGTAATGGGAAGAGGGACTGCCTCTGACATAATCTGATTGGCCTGCTCATTGATCACTTCCCCCTGAGGGGGGAGCAGCCTTTCCAGGCCACAGTAGAGGACAATGCAGCCACTTTTGATGAGAACTGATAGACTAAGATCAGAAAGAAGAGGAGAACCTCCCCTATCAGTGGACTTGGGGAGTGGCATGTATGCAGAAAGGGGAGGGAGGGTGGGATCGGGAGGGGAGGAGGAAGGGACTTATGGGGGGATACAAAAGGAATAAAGTGTAATTAATAAAAAAAAAAAAAAAAGAAGTTGTTTCTCATTTCTCCAGTTTGTAAAAGCCAGCAATCTCTTCCATTTCTTTGGTTTTTCTTTTTTCTCTTTTTAAAAAAATTATTTTTTTATATTAGTTACAGTTTATTACTTTGTATCCCAGTTGTAACCCCTCCCTCATTCCCTCCCAATCCCACCCTCCCTCTCTCAGCTCTTCCCATGATCCTCTCCAGGTCCACTGATAAGGGAGATCCTCCTATCCTTCTGTCAGGATTGGTTCCATTGTCTTCCTCTGTGGCCTAACAAGGCTGCTCCCTCTCAGGGAGAGGTGATCAAAGATCCAGCTACTGAGTTCATGTCAGAGATAGTCTCTGTTCCCATACTATGGATCCCACTTGGACACTGAACTGCCATGGGCTACATCTGTGTAGGGGTTCTAGGTTACCTCCATGAATGGTCCTTGATTGGAGTATCAGTCTCAGAAAAAAAAAACCCTGGGCCCAGATTTTATAGTTCTGCTGCTCTCCTTGTGGAGCTCCTGTCCTCTCCAGGTTTTCCTATCTCCCACTTCTTTCATAAGATTTCCTGCACTCTGTCCAAAGTTTGGTTATGAGTCTCAGCATCTGCTTTGATGACTTGCTGGATAGAGTCTTTCAGAAGCCCTCTGTGTTAGACTCCTGTCCTGTTTCCTGTTTTCTCCTTCTTCCAGTGTCCACCACGTTTGTCTTTCAGAGTGAGGATTGATCATCTTACTCAGGATCCTCCTTCTTGCTTAGCTTCTTTAGTGTACAGATTTTAGTATATTTATCCTATATTATATGTATAAATCCACACTTATACACTTATATGTAAGTGTGTATATGCCATGTGTGTCTTTCTGCTTCTGGGATGATTTTTCTCTCCTGGACATTTTACATCTGGCTTCTGTCATTTAACATGAGGTTTTCAAGCTTTATTCATGTTGTACCATATATTAGTATTTATTCCTTTTTGTTGCCAAACATTCCATTATGTCGATAGCACATGATTTAGTTCTCCATCCATTATGGATATTCAGATTGTCCCCACCTAGTTTTTTTTTGATTAATGCTACTTAACACATTTACATGCAGACACAAAATACAGTTGAACATCTGTTTCCATTTCATTTTGGTTATACCTATACCATTATCATTCCCACCAGCAATGTTTTCAGGCTGTATTTTCATATTCTTATAAACACTTATAGTTATTCTCCATGTATGGTTTTCTGACATTTTTTAGCTATAAATTACTTTACTTCATTGTAGTTTAGTTTTATTTTTGGAATGTTTTATGCTGTTGGAATGTTTTATGCTCCATGTATTTGTCCCCTTTTATACATTAAGTCTCTTCCTTCCCTATTCCAATATTTTCAGGAATTCATTTGATGACCTCCTGAGGCCAGTATACAACTCTATGGCCATTTCCTTCTTTTCTGAAAATGGCAGCGCTCATTATCTTCTTGTTTCCATTTTGTCCTTCTGGTGTGGAGATTCTGCCAGTCTTTAGGTTCCTTCTTCTGTGAATCATTTTGGAAGATCTTGGAGGTAGCTGTACCATGTGACAGTTATGAGAGTCATGAATTTTTTTTCAAATTTCAGTACCCAGAGTCCTATGTTAGGAAGTTCCTAGTGTCTTGCACAGCTTATACGGTACAATATTAATATGATTTTCTTAGTTCTTTGGTTTTTTCACACAGGAAGTGGAACATGGTCTCTTTACTCCATGGAATATTTTTACTGTTAAACAGGAGAATCTGAGGGTGAGATTTTTCTAGTTCAGATTAAAACTGTTGAGATTCTTGTGTAGATAGAGACAAAAATGACTTGATGTCCAGTCAGTCTAGACAATTTAAGTTCAGAGAAATGCTGTCTGAAAATGTAAGGTGGAATATGATTGAGGAAGGCATGGAATGCAACTTACGTGCACACTTATGTATATATACCAAGAATCATACAAAATTGTACTAGGCTTCCTGAATACATGCATATGGTATTTTACTCTGTGCATTTGAAATTTAGGCCAGATGTGGGATATGTGTGTGTGTGTCAAGGTTAAAATGCTGAATCACTGTAGTATAATATAAAATAATAAAAAGTCTGAGCCAGATACAAGGAAATGAACTATTAGCTTTTTAGTTGCTAAAAAACTGTTAGAGAGATTACATTTGAACTGTTTGGCAAAAGTAACAGTAGGAAAACACACATAGACATTCTCTCTCTCTCTCTCTCACACACACACACACACACACACACACACACACACTCCATTCCCTGTCTTTACCATATCCAATCAGGAGAAAAATACATGCTCAAATTGTGTTGTTTCACTTTGAATTCAGTCCTAAGGGAATTATGTCATTCCTTAATATTGTACAGTGTGTGTAGGGTCCCATCTGGAGAAAAATATATGCTAAAGACATATTGTCACACTTTTTATTCAAGAGTAAGGAAAGTATGTCATTCTTTAATGTTGTACTCTCTCTCTTTCTCTTTCTGTGTTTGTGTGTGTGTGTTCGTGTGTCAGTCCCAACTTTTTGACAATGTGGTATGTTACAAAAAAATTGCAGCTAAAAATATTCCTAATGTTTGAAGTTGTTTACAACTTTATGTGAGCCACATTCATTCATGGCTATTCTTCTCAATTATGTGAAACATTATATATGCTATTCTTTCTGTCATGCTTGCTTTCCAAATCACCTGTTATCACCTCTGAGTATCAGTCTCAGTGAGATTACTTTTATTGAGAAAACTGAGTACTCACTGACCAAAAGGAACTATCAGAGAATTAAAGTTCAACTATGTTAAGGAAGGCTCATTGGTGAAGGACGTGCAGAAGTAAGGATTTAAAGAAAGATAAATGCATTTCTACATAAATTAGTATTTAATCAACATTTGTATTTAATTATTTGACAGCCACATTGTTAAATTCAGAAGGTCATAAAGGAATCTCTGTAAGCTGAAAAATAATCTTATTACTATGCTGATTTTCTTCTGATTAATAAGCCACTCCTCATGTTTAAAGGTTTATATTTCACCTCTTTGCACAATGAATTCCACTTTGTATTTTCATTGTTTTTGCTTTAAAGTAGTAAAAGTGATTTGAATGATATTTGGAAATAACATTTTATTTGTATATTTAATTTTAAAAGCAGTCTTTGTTTCTGTTTTATCTTTGTTTTGTTTTGTTTTTTCCCTTAGGGTTGACTTTCTGTCTGGTACAATATTCTTTTGGTCTGATCCAAATTTCTTGTAGGGTAATCTTTCAGTAGAAGAATTATTTCTGTCGTTTTTGTTTTGTCTTGTTTAATTAGTACCTACAAATAGGTCATTTGTAACTATATTATTTACAAAAAACAGGAATGTTGCAGTTTTTCTTAAAGTGCATGTATCATTTTACTTTCCCATAGCAATGAGTGCAGGCTTGAAATCCTATTCATCCTGACAGTATTTATTACTTTTATCTTCTCTTATTGCTTATTATTTTTGTATAAGGAATTGTAATATTTTCAAAATACTTTATTTTAGGTGCTGTATTTCTTTGTAGTATACAAGGACTCGCTGTTAACATTGACCCAATATTGTATACATGGGTCATCTATCAACCACAGAAACGAACAAGCAGATACATGCAACAGGTGAGTCATTCTGTAAGTTCATTTTAACACATCCAACATTTCCTGTATTGTTAGGAGCTAGATGACGCTGTTGTTACCAACTTACATTAGATGGTGTTGTTTACTTACTTTGTAATGGAGTTAAATGATGCTGCTGTTTATGACTTAGATCATGTTGTTCTTACTGGTTCTCTTTTTATTTATGTGCTAGAATTTCTTTTTTTGTTGTTTCTTTTTAGATTAATTTATATCTTATTAATTACAATTTATTTACTGTATCCCAATTTGTATCCCAACTGTAGCCCCCTCCCTCGCCCTACCCCTTCTTCACCCATGCCCCTCCCCAAGTCCACTGATAGAGGAGGTCCTCCTCCCCTTCCTGATCCTAGTCTAGCAGGTCTTATCAGGACTGGCTACATTGTCTTCCTTTGTGGCCTGGCAAGGCTCCTCCGCTGCCCCCACCATGGTTGGTGATCAAAGAGCCAGCCACTGAGATCATGTCAGAGACAGTAACTGTTCCCCTTCCTAGGGAACCCACTTGGACACTGAACTGCCATGTGCTGCATCTGTGCAGGGATTCTAGGTAATCTCCATGCATGGTCCTTAGTTGGAGTATCAGTCTCAGAAAAGACCCCTGTGCCCAGAATTTTTGGTTCTGTTGTTTTCCTTGTGGAACTCCTGTCCCCTCCAGGTCTTTCTATCTCCTACTTCTTTTATAAGATTCCCTGCACTCTGCCCAAAGTGTGTCTATGAGTCTCAGCATCTGCTTTGATACTTTCATCAGTAGAGTCTTTCTGAGGTCCTCTGTGGTAGGCTCCTGTCCTGTTCTCCATTTTCTCCCTCTTCTGATGTCTATCCTGTTTGCCTTTCTTCATGAGGATTGAACATCTTAGCCAGGGTCCTCCTTTTTGCCCAGCTTCCTTAGGTATACAGATTTTAGTATGTTTGTCCTATATTATATGTCTAATATCCACTTATAAGTGAGTATATACCATGTGTATCTTTCTGCTTTTGGATACCTCAGCCTGGATAATCTTTTCTAGTTCCCACCATTTGCCTGAAAATTTCATGATTACCTTGTTTTTAATTTTTGAGTAGTATTCCATTGTGTAATTGTACCACAATTTCGGTACCCATTCCTCCATTGAGGGACATCTGGATTGTTTCCAGCTTCTGGCTATTACAAATAAAGCTGCTATGCACATGGCTGAGCAAATGTACTTGTTGTATACTTGAGCATCTTTTGGATATATGCCTAGGAGTAGCATAGCTGGATCTTCTTTTTTCTTTAACGTTTATTAATTATACTTTATTCACTTTGTATCCCCCCATAAACCCCTTCCTCCTCCCCTTCTTATCCCACCTTCCCTCCTCCTTTTTCACGCATGCCCCTCCCCAAGTCCACTGATAGGGGAGGTCCTCCTCTCCTTCCTTCTGATCCTAGTCTATCAGATCTCATCAGGAATGGCTGCATTGTCTTCTTCTGTGGCCTGGCCTCAGGGGGAGGTGATCAAAGAGAAGGCCAATCAGTTCATGTCAGAGGCAGTCCCTGTTCCCATTACTGTGGAATTCACTTGGACACTGAACTGCCATGGGCTACATCTGTGCAGGGGTTCTAGGTTATCTCCATCGTACTTGGTTGGAGTATGAGTCTCTGGAAAGACCCCTGTGTTCAAATTTCTGGTTCTGTTGCTCTCCTTGTGGAGTTCCTGTCCTCTCCAGATCTTACTATTTCCCACTTCTTTCATAAGATTATTCCATGCACATTGCCCAACAGTTGGTCATAAAGTCTCAAGCATCTGCTTTGATAGTCTTTCAGAGGTCCTCTGTGGCAGATTCCTAACTTGTTTCCTGTTTTCTTCTTTTTCTGATGTCCATCCCTTTGCCTTTTGGGATGGGGATTGAACATTTTAGTCAGAGTCCTTCCTCTTGATTAGTTTCTTTAGGTGTACAGATTTTAGTAGGTTTATCCTATATTATATGTCTAGATGAGTGAGTATATACTGTGTGTGTATTTCTGCTTGTGGGACAGCTCACTCAGGATGATCCTTTCCAGTTCCCAACATTTACTGCAAATTTCTTGATTTCCTTGTTTTTCATTGCTGAATAATATTCCATTTTGTAGATGTACCACAATTTCTGTATCAGTTCTTCAGTTGAGGGGCATCTGGGTTTGTTTCCAGGTTCTGGCTATTACAAATAAAGCTGCTACAAATATAATTGAGCAAATGTCCTTATTGTGTACTTGAGCCTCTTTTGGATATATGCCTAGGAGTGGTATGGCTGGATCTTGAGGAACAGAGCTAAACAGAGAATTCTCGTTAGAGAAATATAGAATGGCAGGGAAACACTTAAAGAAATGCTCAACCTCATTAGCCATTAGGGAAATGCTAATCAAAACGACCCTGAGGTTTCACCTTACACCCATCAGAAAGGGCCAAGATAAAAAACTCAAGTGACAACACATGCTGGAGAGGTTGAGGAGAAAGGGGAACCCTCCTCCACTGCTGGTGGGAATGTAAACTTGTACAACCACTCTGGAAAGCAATCTGGCACTTTCTCAGACAACTGGGAATAGCACTTCCTCATGTATAGCTGGATCTTGAGGTAGCAGTATTCCTAATTGTTTGAGAAAGCACCAGATTGATCTCCAAAGTGGTTGTACAAGTTTATATTCCTTTAGGCCCTATTTTATGCCCTTCAAAGAAGATCTGTAATTTTGTTCATAAGAAACTACAGTTGAAATAACTTTCTGCAGAAAGATTAGCAAGAGTCCTATTTATTCTCACCAGTTTCAGTGAGGGCTGTGTGACTGTGTATCCAGTATAACATGAAAACAAGGGGAATACTTCTCATGAGCACATGACGTGTATGAAGAAGGATCAGGTTAAAGTGTGCAGCACAGGCACAAGGCAGACAGTCAAGCTTGTTTCTACTTCAATGTTTGGGCAAAGACAGAGACCTGAGAATCATGGCAAGGAGGATTCTGAGCTAAAGCTAACTCTTCTATAGAATGAGCAGCAGTTAAAACGCAGTTCCTAGGAGATTTTGTCTGGAATCGTCAGTACTTTGGTAAAGGAGACCTTATTGTGAAGGATAACGAGCAACTACTTAAAATCGTTTTGAGCTACTTAAAACTGTTTTGTACAGTGTTATAGAGGGTCAGATGGGCTTTCTAAAGTACTCTTACCTGTGTCAAAATACACTTAAGTTTAATCTGCAAGAGGATGATTTTGTTTGTTTATTTTTGAGTGTTCCTATTACTGTGACTTCTATTATTCTTACCACATTTCATCCTTTTCTCTGGAGTTTAGTATCACATTTTGTTTTCTTATTCTTAGAAACATACTCAGTTTAATCCTTAGTATGGTTATAATTCTCAGAGTGCTTGATTTTTCTCTCAGGTATAACGTGGTCAGAGATGGATTGGTCTATTAGACAACTGAGTATGGAACAAGCTGGCCCAGAACTCAACTCTCCTACACTAGTGCCCTTAGTGCTGGGATTGCAGGCATGTGTCACATGCCTGAGCACTTAAAGTAGTAAACACATTTCAAATGTAAATGAGAAAATATTAAGTCTGTTGTTCTAATTAGATACACATATAAGTTGCTTTTTTTTTTTTTTTTTTTTTTTTTTACATTTTCAGGTGTTTTTCTTGGGATAGATTCCTATTTACCTTCATTTTCCTCTTTGCATGACCTGTGAACCTTTGTTGTTATAAGAATCACACTTGGTGACTATGCTGTCTCCACATCTATTTACCCTTGCATACTGAACACCAAGCTTGCCATAGCTGTCACCCTTGTTTCCCCACTTGTACTTTCCTTCTCAGTTGTGGCTAAAGCCCAATATTTGCTAATTCTTTTCCAGGCAGTCCAGTATTGATCTTTGATCCTAAAGCAGAAGTACTTTTTCTTTTTTTTTTTTGCCAAAAATCTGACAGGCTTGTATTGGACGTCATTGGCAGGAATATCAGACTTTTTTTTCACTGAATAAAGAAGAAACAGCTGCTTCATTGTCCAGCTCTACACTCATGTGTTCAGTAGAGAATCATAATGCTTTCCAGCTTTTTCTAACTTTTCGTTGTGTTCTATGCTTTCTAAATATGTTCTGATTATCACTTTATTAGACAGAATAAATTTCTGAAAATTTCTTCAAAATTTGGCTGTCCATATAAGTAATCAATAGTTATCTCCCCACCCCCAATAACTTGGTTTCCTAGTTGTTACAATTTACTTTGGGATTTCAGATTTGATTTTTATGTTTATTTTTCTCCCAGTATTATGTTTGTATTTCTCATTACAATCTATGTTAACTTTTTAGCTATTAAAGTTATTAAAAGCTATTAATCTTTTAATTTATATTAAGCCTTTCAGGTTTTCACACAGAATTCATAGTCCTCATCTGAAAATACTATTTGGGAAATTTCAGAAATAAATAATTCATAAGTTTTAACTAATTGTTACTGTAGTATAATTGTTATGTTACTTACTTTTCCTAACCTCTTATTAACATAATTTAACTTTAGTATATGAATTCTATGTGTAAAAAAATGTAGTACCATTGTTTCTCTGTATCCTCGAGAGATAGTTGGTTCCAGGAACCAAAGTGTGTTGATGCTTGTGTTCCCTATATGTGCTGACACATAGTATTTCCACCCAACCTTTTCACACCTGATCATACACTTGAATACCAGTAATAGTGCCTGCTACCTAATGTAGTGCAAATGATGTGTAGAGTTGTCCCACTGTATAGTGTAGGGAATAAGGACACTGGAAAAGATGCCCTTAAGTTTTGTATGATTGCATTTTGCCCTGAGTATGCTTGGTCTACACTTTACTGAGTTCATAGATCTGCAAATCACAGATAGGCTAAGGTGCTTTTGTCTGCTATAGAGGAAACCATCTAGTAGTATTGTATAGTCCCTGAGTATAAATGGATATTACTTACGTTTGACAGAAAGGAGGGAAAGAATAGAGATGGTACAATTTACAAAAAAACCTAGACCACAGCTTATAAAATTCTGTCTGTAATGATGCTGTCATTGCTTCACAAATATGGAAATTTTATTTCTGTTTTCTTTCTTTCAACAGCCTGTGGTAGCTCTCCCTCTTGTGCCTTCAGTTAACAGAAGGAAAGAAGATGAACTATCTGTTGGAAGTGCCCCATTGGCAAAGCAGCAGTCATATCAGGCCTCAGAATATGCCAGCAGCCCTATAAAAACAAAAACAGTGACTGGTATGTGTCAAGAACAGATATGTCAGTTTTCTGAGGGTTTGTTTATCTTATTATACTTATCCATATGTTTTTAGAAGTTAATATTAATTATTGAGGGAGGAAAAAAGATCTAACATGATTAGTCATTATTTTGTATGTAATAGAAAAATAAATAGTTCATTGATTATTTTATCCTAGTTCCCTAGGCTATCTGGTCTCTGGTTCTTGGTCACCCAAGTTGTGTTGGGTATGGGTTTCATGTTGTGAAGTGGGTCTTCGGTCTATCATATAGTTTGATTTTTTTTTCTGAATTTACACATATAAATATCAGTGTAGTCATCACTATTATTTATATTGTATAATAAACTAATGAATTTGGAAAGTTACTTATTTGTAATTATGGCTCTTTGCATATATCTGCAATTTTTGGTTGTCTTTTTTCTTTCTTAATTATGTTTTCTTACCATCTTAACCAATTTTAGGTCTATGATTTCATGGTATTTAATGTGTATGTGTGTATATGTATGTGTATATATATATGTGCATGTGTATATTGCTATGTAGTGTATATATTTAATTGTTTTGTACAATGGATAAATATTAATGCCCTGCTCCTCATTTTTCTTTTTAAAGAAATGAGTTTTTTTCTATGTTGCCAAGGTGAAGCTCAACTTCAAACCATCCTCTTACCCCAGTCACCTGTACCACATGCCACCACTTGAAGATTCATGTTCAGTTCTTATTAGAATTGTTATTTTGTACTCTTAGCCATTGATGCACTGTTGATCACATGTTTCTCTCTAATGAAATTGTGTAGCATTTTAGTTTATAATGTCCAAATCATGGTGATACCAAAGCACTGAGTTTGATTTGACTTTTCATTTTCACTAAGATGCCACTGGTGTATTTTTTATTCTTGAGTAAACAATGTTAGCACCATGCTACAGGGCATTGCGAAAAGCCTGGGATATACTAAAAGGCAGCACAGGGCCCTCTGTACTCTTGAGGAAAATCTGTATCCAAGTCTAGGAATCCTCAATGGTGTGACAAATTTGGACAGCCTTTAGAAAATGATTAAATATCTTCAGTGAACCCAAGAACTTTGAAAACATACTACTGTTCTTAATTGGATTTTATCTTTAGTGTGCAAATATTACTTATGATTTCAATGATAACAGGCAGAAACTATGCAAGACGAGAAATCAATCAGTAAGAACACACTGAGAAACAAGGTGGAAGAACTAGTAGACATATTAAATACTTGTACTTGGAAGGAAATTTTATAACAATGTTGATATTTTTACAGATTGAACACTTTGATCAGAAAAATAGAGATATACAAAAGGGCTATGATCTGATTAATTCTTGAGGTGAAAAATATAATGTTCAAAATAAAAAAATGCAGAGGAACTAGCGTACATCAGACATTATAGAAGGGAACCTCTACATTGGAAGCAGATAGAAACATTCCAAAATTAATAGTAATAACAGGAAGAAGAAGAAGGAGGAGGAGGAGAAGGAGAAGAAGAAGGAGAAGAAGAGGAAGAAGAAGAAGAAGAAGAAGAGGAGGAGGAGGAGGAGGAGAAAAGAAAAAAAGAAAGAAAGAAAAGAAAGAAAGAAAGAAAGAAAGAAAGAAAGAAAGAAAGAAAGAAA